CCAAACAACAGATAGGTTTCTATGGGTTACAAAAACACCAAGGAGGTACGCACATCTTAAATCAACCATTTGAGATCAAAAGGGCAGTATTTACCCAAGGACAAAAAGGAGTAATGGAAACAGAAAACACAAAGAGGAAATACGGTATGTGATATTACTTTATGGGAATTAAAATCAATGACATGAAACAAAATGTGTATGAAATATACAATGGAAAACTGATCTACTCTATAAATCTTCACCCAATTCACAATATATATATATTTAGCTCAATGAAAACTGTATAAAAGATTGTATAACAATACATATATTGTTGTTGCTGTTAAGTGTTATTCAGTTGGTTCCAACCCATAGAAACCCTGTATAGTGTTTCCGAGGAGCGGCTGGTGGGTTTGAACTGTTGGCCTTGTGGTTTGCAGTCCAATGCTGATTCTACAGTGCTACACCAGGAATCCATTATACAGAATATCCACCAACAATTACAAGAAACTAAAGAAGGAGGTAGAAACAAACTCACTATTAAGATACAAAATAATCAACAAAACAAGACCCAAAGATGTTGGGACTATCAGAGACAGGTTTTACAATAACTATGATTAATAAGCTAAAGAATACAGTGAAAATGACAGACAGTATGTACAGAGAATTTCACCAAAAAAAAGAAAATACTGAAAAGGTATCGTGCTAGCTGTGAAAATTGCAATATCCGAAATAATTCTTTTGATGAGCTTATGAGCCCTAGGGTAGCATTGCAGGATAAGCACTGGACTACTAATCTCAAGGTCAGTAGTTCAAACTCACCAGCCACTCTTGGAAACCCTATATAGCTCACTATGATTCAGAATCGGCTTGATGGCACACAGCATAAGCGCAACAGACACAAGAGAGAAATACATGAATATGAGCCTAAGATAATAAGAATTATCCAATCTTTTGAAACAAAAATTGGGGGGGGAAACAGGACTGAGAAATGTAACATGTGACATCTAATAGTTATAAGACAATATCTAAAGATCTACTAATGTATATCCCAGAGCATAGTGGATCCACAGAATAAGCATTGGACTGCAAACCACATAGTCAGAGGTTGGTGCTGACCAGCGACAGCATTTAACAACAATGGTATATATCCCAATTGAACAAAATGAACACAGAGAGGAAACTGGGAAAGAATATTTTAAGAGATAACCCAATCTAGCAATTTCCTGGTGTGATACTGTGGGTTAATGCGCCAGACAGCAAAACCATTTGAACTGCAAGGCTGGTAGTTCAAGCTCACCAGCTGCTCCTCAGAAACCCTATACAGGGTCACTATAGGTCGGGACCGACTCAACAGCACTTAACAACGACAACAGCAATTAGAATAGATCTGCACTGTCCACTTTGGTAGCGACTAGCTACATGGAGTCCAGGTGTGGCACTGTAGGATAAATACTAAACCACAAGGTTTGTTTGAAATGCAAAGTCAATGGTTCAAATCTACCAGCTGCTCCTTGGAAACACTATACAGGAACCAACTCTATAGCACTTAACTACTACAAGTCACATGTGACTATTTAAATATAAATTTAATGAATTTGAAAAAATTTTTAATTCAGTTCTCCGATTACACTAGGCACAAATGCTGAGTAGAAATAGGAGTCTGTGACGGTTGATTACCACAATGAACAGCTTAGACAGCTATAGAACATTTCCATCATTACAGAAAGTCCTACTGGGTAGGGTGGGCTTAGAATATTTATATTTAATGTAGTTATTGATATTTGTTGTTGTTAGGTTCCATGGAGTCGGTACCGACCCATTGCGACCTTATGCACAGCAGAATGAAACACTGCCCACTCCTGGGCCAACCTCACTACTGTTGCCAAGCTTGAGTCCATCGATGCTGCCACTTGGCCAATCCATCTCGCTGGGGTCTTCCTCTTTTTCTCTGACCCTCCATCTTACCAAACATGATATCCTTCTCTAGTGACTGGTGCCCCCTGGCAATATGTCTGGTCTTGTGTAGCTCCCCTCACCCACAAAAGGAAAACAAAGAGACATAGTAGCCAATAAGTCAACAGCAGATAAAAAATTAGATTATAAAAAAATATATATGATTCATGAAAAAGAAGGCAAGAAAACGGAAGAGGAAAAATGAAGAAATGGGACAATTAGAAGAAAAAATAAGATGGTAGGTTTAATCT